GTGATACAATTGTATAATAATAATAATAATAATAATAATAATAATAATAATAATAATAATAATAATAATAATAATAATAATAATAGCAGCAGCAACCTCACAAAAATGTTTCAGCCCTTAAGGAAGGAGTCATGCATAAAAGCAGTCTTCTGTACACAAAAATATAGAGCCACACATATGACTGAGTGCCAGTTTGACACCCCTGCGCCTTGACAGTGCCTCTGGGCCTAGTTTCTGAAGGTCATTCCCACAGTATTGTTATAGTAAATCAGTTGAAGGAATATGTTCTTTTTATTGCACACAAATACTTAACTGCTATGTTTGTGAATGTTTTCAGCAATGTTTTTCCCTTCATTTTCACAAGTAACAGCACTAGTTATAATTTTGACCCCCATAATTGCATACAACTGATTTTTCTTGCCATGCCCTTGGAGAGGACTTCCTTTTTTTCTGGCTCATGGGAAAGTATGCAGTGCTTGCTTTTTCATTATCTCTGTGGAAGTGAACTTGCTATGCCTTGTGCTTCCATTTTTTTCAGTGAGAATCAGCAGTTGCAGCTTCTCTACCTGGAATGCATTCTTTCCATGCTGAATAGCTTCTCTTCTGGTATGCACCACCATAAAGGATTCACTGACCTCATCTGGTAGGTAGATGTGCTTTGAATGATGAGAAGAACAAAGTTTTAGCCTTGTAGAAATCTTCTTTGGCCTGTATATTTGAGCAGAAGTAATATCTGTTTAAGGGGACACGGTGGCTCAGTGTTTAAGACACTGAATTTGTTGATCAGAAAGGTTGGCAGTTCAGCAGTTTGAATCCATAGTGCTGTGTAATGGAGTGAGTGCCTATTACTTGTCCCAGCTTCTGCCAACCTACCAGTTCGAAGCATATTAAAAAATGCAAGTAGAAAAAATAGGAACCACCTTTGGTGGGAAGTGTTCCATGTGCCTTCGGTGTTTAGTCATGTCACCCACATCACCACGGAGACTTCTTCAGACAGCACTGGCTCTTTGCCTTTGAAATGGAGATGAGCACCGCCCCCTAGAGTTGGGAACGACTAGCACATATGTGGAAGGGGAACCTTTACCTTTACCTATTTAAAGAAGATGGGATATCATTTAGACAAATTAAATATTACTATCCCTATAGAGAATGTCATTTCCATTCCCATGGAGCTATAGAAAAATGAGTTGGAAGCATCCTAGAAGAAACAGGGTAAACGGCAGAAATGTTATTCAAGGAGATCTCAAAATAGCTCATGGCTTGAACAAGTTATTTGAATATAAGTAGTTGAAAGGTACATTTGCCATTTTAGTTTCCACCCACATTTTCCTTTGCACACTGGAGTTTGAAAATTTATCCTGTTGCTTGCTGGGTGTGAAGGCAGCTGGAGGCTTGGAAGTTTCAGATAGCTTGATCTCCCTGGCTTGCTGGGTGGAAAGGAGGCTGAAGGACTATGGGGATCTTGAGGAGCAAGAAGCAGAGCTCAGGGGGTGGGAGTAATTATGGGAGACTGGGGTTGGTGACCCTGGGCCTATGTAGGGCCAGGGCCCTTACCCCTGAGGCACTGGGTCCTCCATTTAACAAACAATTGCATTCATTTAATGTTTGTATCAAGGGGTGGTGTCGTTAAGTGAGGCCATTTTGTTTAACAGCTGTCCTGACATGCAACCCTAATGGGCAAGCTCCATATCTCTAAGACTATCTGTAATCTTTTTTTTTTCTAGTCCAGCATTTGCTCACATTCTATACCTAAAGTGTATGAGTATGAAATAGGGACAAAAACCGGTCAAAAATCAATGAAAATTAAGGCACAGAGAGGAAGGGGGATGAAAGGTTGGTGAGCTAATTATCAAAACCTTAATTCTGTTTCTAATCATTCTGTGATTAGAATCTAACTGAATCATTCTGTGTTTCAGTTATTTCCGATTATTCATTTTTTTCTAAAGAACTGTACTTTCTTTTCCAACATAAAACTATTTTAACAATCTCTTCAGACATTGTATCCTTCACTACTTCTCCCACACTATCTCTAATTTATTTTTATCAGGAAGCAGCTGTGTCCAGCCCTGATAGTAATCTTGGGCAATCCGGTTCATGATAAAACGATCACATCTGCTCACAGCAACACCAGTCATGAAGCTGATTCTCCTTCTTCCGGAGTCTCTGACCACGGCCGAGGATCAGGCTGCTCTACAACTGCCCCTGCCCTTAGTAGTCCTGTTGCACGGACTATCTACTACATTGCAGCGGAGCTTGTTCGGTTGGTGGGCTCAGTGGAGTCAATGAAGCCTGTTCTGCAGTCTCTCTACCATCGGATGCTTCTGTATCCTCCACCCCAGCACAGAGTAGAAGCTATCAAGATCATGAAAGAGGTGAATTTACATTCCCTGGTTGATTTTTAAATTTGTCGACTTAAATTGCAATTAAATTACGAGTTGCAAACCGTTTGGAATTTTGGAATATTCTTTATCAACACAATCATCTTGTGTGAGTGGACACACAAGAAATTTGTCTCAGGTGCATAAGCGCTAAGTGTACATACGAATAACAGAGTGATAAGTCATAGATTATAAATCATAAATATACAATGATAAAACATAAGATAAATAATAAGTAATAATAAGTAACAATATAATAATAAGCAACAATAGTTTAAGTAATAATTAAGTAATAATAACAATAAGCAAAAATAATAAGCATGAATTATAATTCATAAAATACTAATAGGAGGAGGTAATAGGGAAGATGAGAAGGATAAAAGCAATACAGCCCTACTACATGGGTAAATATCTTTAAACATAAGATAGTGCTTTGGGAATTCGGTGTTTAACAGAGTGATGGCATGGAGAGAAAACTATCTTTGTATCTAGTTGTTTTGGCAAGCAATGCCAGGTGTTTTTCTCTTATAAATTTATTTTGTCCTTGTGTTTATCTTCAATAATAAATTTTATAAAACAATGCTGTGTTCTTTTACAGTACGCTGCTTGGAGAATCCAAGCATGAGTTAAACTCAGCCAATCTGCCCAGGATTGAATTGAAACTTTAGCCACGCCTCTGGTGTTGCCTTGACTTGCCAGATTTTCAATTCAGTCAAAGCCCTGTGGACGCGCTTTAGTTTCTGTCAGTTCTGGACAGATTGCTTGTTCTCAATACTTCAATTTCTGAAGTTCCTTTAGTGTATTTTTTCCCCCCATTTTTTCTTCCACAGAGTGCAGGAGCGGTGAGCAGTACCTTTTAAAACTTCCCTTTTACAACTTTCTTGCTCTTTCCTCTTTATCCCTGGCTCCCATGATGTCCCGGGCTCGCTCAGGCACTGCGGAGGTCACTGGCGACTGCCGCTTGCAGCGTGGAGTCAGAGTGCCGATGCCTGCACAATCACGCTATTTTCCTCGCCTGCGAGTTTCCTTTTTTCCAGCAGGCATCTTTGTTGCCACTGTCTGTGCTCGCTTGGGAGCCAGCTGCTGGTGCAGAGCCTCGGCAGGCTTATTTCTTGCTTCTGGTGGCCATTTTGGCATGGCCACCATTTTGTTTTTCACTTTTCCCCGCGTTTCTTGCCTGCCGGTGCCATTTTACTGCCCCGCTCACAGCAGATCGCCGCAGCAGACCACTTGTCCGGACCTCTGGTGGGGTCTTTGTTTGGGATTGCTTCCCTCAAGACTTCCCTTGGCCACAGTGGTCAGACTCGTGACTAGAGGTGCGCTAGTGCTGGGAGTGAGTGGCAGCTTCTCCAGGGTCCCCGGGGGCTTCAATGGCTGACCACGCAGATCTTTTTGAATGCCCCTCAGAGGGAGAAGCGGATCCAGTTCCCTCAAGTCACCTGGCCCCATAGTTGCCAATCCCTCGACCTCCCCATAGAGGTCGCCCTGTGGAAGATAGGGGACCCGATCTGTCGGTTGAGATGCAAGATGTCATTGCCAGGGCCATATCCCAGGGCATTGAGAGAGGGATGCGCCAGCAGGGTAAACGCGCAAGACCCATCACATTCAGACACCGTCCCCTCCCAAGGAGGTTGTACAACCCCTACGACCTGCTTATCCCCACTCCTCGTTGGATAGCGAGGACTCTGTTGGGAAGATATTTTCTAGTGTCTTGTTCAATGATTTCGTCCGGTCTATATAATTTCTTATAATAATTCTGTACAATCTTTTTCTTTTCCCCTATTTCCTGTTTCAGATTCCCCTCTTCGTCACATAATTGTTTAATAATTCTTTTGCCCTCCTCTTTTCTTATTTTGTGGGCCAGCCATCTCCCAGTTTTATTTGCATGTTCAAAATAGTTCTGTTTCATTCTCTTAATATTTTGTGCTACTTCCTCTTGCGAGATCAAATTTATTTGGTGTTTGATTAACTCTCCTTTTTCCCTGTGTCTACTATTGTCTGGGTTTTTCTGAATCAGCAATTCTGTCTCTCTTAATTCTTTGTTCAATGCATTAAGTTTTCCCCTATACATTTTGTTTCTTCTTATTAGATAGGCTATTGATATTCCCCTCACAACTGCCTTCATCGTGTCCCAGACGTTTTGTATTGAGGTCTGCTCTTTACCGTTTTCTTTGAAAAAGTAGCCCAGTTCCTTTTCTATTTGTTGTACGAATTGCTTCTCTTGTAATATGTTCTGGTTTAATGTCCACCTAGCTTTTTTCCTTGGCTTCCCTTTCCATTGCCATAAGACTGGGTGGTGGTCGGCCCACTTGTTCGTTGTTATTTCAATGTTTACAGTATCCATGAGTAGTTCCGGGTTTGACCAGAC